GACCAGGAGAGAAATGCAGAGCAAAATTCAAATTCTCAAAAACAGACCAGACTTACTGGTCTGACAGAGACTGGAGGAACCCCCGAGACTATGGTCCCTGGACACCTTGCTAATTCAGAACTGAAGCTATTCCCGAAGTCTACCTTTCAGCCAAAGATTAGACAGGCCTATAAAACAAACAATAACATGCATGAGGCAGAAAGGACAGGAAAATTGGACAATGGACACAGGAAATTTGGGGTATAAAGGGAAGGAGGAGAGAGTGCTGACACATTGCAGGGATTGCAACTAATGTCACAAAACAATCTGTGTACAAATTTTTTAATGAGAAACTAATTTGCACTATAAACTTTCACCTAAAGCATAATAAAATTTTAAAAAAGAATCCTAGAAACAGTACATTAAGATCTCAGCAGAGAATCCCATAAAAACTCCTATAAAATCCTTGTAAGGCATGCAGTGGGAAATCAGAGAAATGCCCATACCCAAAGGGGGCTTGATGAACTAATGACAATCTCTAGTTGAGTAGTACAGAACTCCAACCTATTCCAACTTCAAAACAGGACGGACAGAGATCATGCTCAGTATTATGCAGCAACACTCATTTGCAGCACACATTTTATAGCGAGTCTCAAATTTCAGCACTGGAACAGATAAACTCTACCAAGTCTAGTATTGTCTCTGTTAGAATCATCAAAGTATGGACTATGGGACACGAGACTATCCTCCCTGAAGCAACTCTTTCAAAAGATGTAATGGCTGTCTATATCTCCCTAAACACCCTAGATATCCTTAGTAACAGGTCATGGCTTTGTCATCCATGATGTTATATAAACCCTCTTTTATATTTAGTTTACATAATCTGTTAAAGGAACTTTCAAAGGAAGAGATTCAAGATGGCAGCCTAGTCTGACTCACTGTGAGCATTCCCATACCATCAGATAGCACCTGTTCAGTATGCCCTCAGCCGTCTCACACATAGAGTGAATAGTGATGAGGGCTTGCCCTGCCCACTGTTGTCCTTTCCAACTGGATAGGAATGCCCCTGTGCTGCCAGATGAACAATTACCAAAGCACACCAGACCCACCCGCACTGATAAATCAAATCAAAACAAAACAAACATAAATAAATAAAATAACACCTTAATGCCTCAGAGACAGACAACATCAAACCATATAAAGAAACAAGATGGCTCAACCAAATGACCAAAATAAAGAAGTAGAAAATATGCCTGAGAAAGAGATGGTAATGGAACAGCCTGATAAGGAATTCAAAAGGCTTATATATAGGGTCCTCAAAGAGATCAAAGAAAACACAGACAAAACCCTAGAAGAATTCAGGAAAATAATAAAAGAACAAAATGACAAATTAAATGGACAATCAGAAATCGTACAAAAACAGCAACTAGAAATACAGAAGATTAACAATAAAATATCAGAAATAAATAACTCAATGGAAGGATACAGAAGTAGAACTGAACCAACAGAAGAATTAGTAAAATAGAGGACAAATCCCTGAATACCAATTTGTTTGAAGAACAATCAGAAAAAAAAAAACTAAGAAAGCTTAAGAGTTATGTGGGACACTATGAAGAGGAATAATTTACGCGTGATGGGAATCCCAGAACAGGAGACAAAAAAAAAGCACAGAGAGAATTTTTGAAGATTTGCTGGAAGAAAACTTCCCCAATATCATGAAAGATGAGAAGATGTCCATCCACAAAGCTCAATCAACCCCATACAGGACAGACCCCAAAAGAAAGTCACCAAGACATATCATAATCAAATTTTCCAAGTCCAAAGATGAAGAAAGAATTCCGAGAGCAGCTCAGGAAAAAGAAAATATCACCTACAAAGGGACTCCAATAAGACTAAGCTCTGATTTCTCAGCAGAGACCATGCAGGCAAGAAGACAATTGGATGACACATATAAAACCCTGAAAGAAAAAAATTGTCAACCAAGAATCATATACCCAGCAAAACTGTTTCTCAAGTACAATGGTGAAATCAGGAAATTCCTAGATAAATAGAAATTAAATGAATTTGTAAAAACCAGACCATCCTTACAAGAAATATTAAAGGCAGTCCTTTGGATAGAGAACCAACGACAGCAGATAACAACCTGAAAGCAAGCCAAACAATGGCACCACCAAGATGCCAACCCAGATAGAGAAATCTCAAAAGTAACATAAAGCTAAGGAACCAAAAACAGAGAACACTGAGAGATGTCAATCTGAAATCGATGACAACTTTAAAACGAAAAAGGGAAACAAATGGTTTAGTTACAGAACTTCCATATGGAGACAAGTCAAGGCGATATCTAAAAATAACGGACTGTTTTAAACACAGGATGAAAAAGGTAAACCTCACAGTAACCACAAAGAAAATGAATAAACTTACCCATTAAAATAAAGAAGAAGAATATTAAAAAGACCCAGTAAACACAACAATCGACAAAAACAAAGGAAATGAAAAGACAATACATGGATCAAAAGAACTCAGCATAGAAAATTAAGCTGAACAAAGAAAATGTCAACACCACAAAAAAAAAAAAAAAAAGGTACAAAAAATGTTGCTGCTGTTGTTAGGTGCCGTTGGGTTGGTTCCAACTCACAGTGGCCCTATGTACAACAGAACAAAACACTGCCCGGTCCTGTGCCATCCTCACACTTGTTACTACGGTTGAGCCCATTGTTGAAGCCACTACGTCAATCCATCTCATTGAGGGTCTTCCTCCGTTTCACTGAAAATGACAGCAGTACATGCATTATCTATCGTTAAATCACACTGAATGTAAACGGATTAAATGCACCAGTCAAGAGACAGAGAGCAGCAGCATGGATAAAAAAATTACCCATCAATATGTTGCCTACAAGAGATACACCATAGATACAAAGACAAAAAGAGATTAAAAACCAGAGGATAGAAACAAATATATCAAGCAAACAAAACCAAAAAACACCAAGAGTGGCAATATTAATCTGATAAAATAAGACTTTAAATCAACCTTCACAATAAGAGAAAAGAAGGACATTATATAATGATTAAGGGATGAATCCACCAAGAGGACATAACCATAGTAAATATGCACCCAATGACAGAGCTCCAAAATACATAAAACAAACCCTAACAGAAATGAAAAAAGAAATAGTTCTACAATAATAGTGGGAGACTTTCACACACCACTTTTAACGATGGACAGAACAACTAGAAATAAATTTCCACAAAGATACAGAAGACCTAAATAATACAATCAACCAACTTGACCTCACAGACATATACAGAGCACTCCACCCAACACATTCTTCTCTATTGCACATGGACCATTCTCTAGAATAGATGACAAAGCAAGCCTCAATATACTGAAATAATACAAAGCATCTTCTCAGATCACAATGCTATAAAATTAGAAATCAATAACAGGAAGAACAAGAACAGGAAGAACAGTTGGAAACTGAACAACGTCATGCTTAATAACCACTGGGTAATAGAAGAAATTAAAATGAAATAAAAAAATTCCCAGAATCGAACAAGAATGAAAATACAACATACCAAAACCTTTTGGACACAGCAAAAGCAGTGCTCAGAGGCCAATTTATAGGTATAAACGCACACATCAAAAAAGAAGGTCCAAAATCAATACCTTAACCCTACAACTTGAACAAATAGAAAAATAGCAGCAAAAGAAGCCCACAGCCACCAGAAGAAAGGAAATAACAAAGATTACGGCAGAAATAAATGAAACAGAAAAACAACCGAAATAATCAACAAGACTAAAATCTGGTTCCATGAAAGGATCGATAAAATAGACAAACCACTGGCCAAACTGACAAAATAAAAAAAGAAGATGTAAATGACCCAAATAAGAAATGAGATGGGTGACATCACAACAGAACCAACTGAAATAAAAAAGATCATAACAGAATACTACAAAAAATTATACTCCAACAAATTTAAAAACCTAGAAGAAATAGATAAATTCCTAGAAACAGACCATCTACCTAAACTAACACAAACTGAGGCAGAAAATCTGAACAGACTCATAACAAGAGAAGAAATTAAAGAGGTCAGAAAAAAACTACCAACAAAAAAAGCCCTGGCCCAGATGGTTTCACTGGAGACTTCGACCAAACATTCAGAGAAGAGTTGACACCAATACTAGGCAAACTATTCCAGAATACATAAAAGGAACGAAAACTCCCAAATTCATTCTATTAAGCCAGCATAACTCTGATACCAAAGCCAGGCAAAGATACCACAAAAAAAGGAAATTATAGACCAATATCCCTCATGAACATTAATGCAAACATTCTCAACAAAATTCCTGCCAAGAGAATTCAACAGCATATCAGAAAAATAATACACTATGACCAAGTGGGATTCATACCAGGTATGCAAAGATGGCTCAACATTAGAAAATCACTGGCTAATTTTTTTCAGAAGTAGACCGCCAGGTCCTTCTTCCTAGTCTGCCTTAGTCTGAAAGCTCAGCTGAAACCTGTCCATCATGGGTGACCCTGCTGGTATCTGAATACCGGTGACATAGCTTCCAGCATCACAGCAACACACCAGCCCCACAGTACGACAAACTGACAGATGCGTGGTGGAACTGACAGCTGCGTGTTTTACTCAAACATAAATCTACACTTTTTAAGCTGTATCACTTTGCTCATGCTACAAGCACTCTCTGAGATTTCCAAGGCATTTGTATGGATTAGAGCTCTACGTCCTGGCTTGCCCTACACATTGACCTTAGGTAAACTCTGATACCCCCTACTACTAGCAGGGCTGCTTTCCCAAGCTCTTAACAATCTCAGTGGATATTATCCTATCATTCACAGTGTTGTACTTCAGGATAGATCCTGAAATGTTCTTTTTGACAATGAATGGGACACCATTCATTCTGGATTAAAAATATCTTCTTCCAACTCTGACATCTCTAGTGCCAGTAGCAATCTGGTGCTAGTGGTTCCCTCCCCACACAGGCCCAGGCTACTTACACAAGGTGCTGATCTCGGATCTTGCGCAGCTGGATCAGGTCAGGTTTGATACTATTCATTTTTTTATCTATTTCCCGGTTGTCCAAAGCTTGTTTCTTCAAATCCTGCTCTAGACGCATTTTGCTATCATGTATCTCACCCAGACGTGATTTCAATTTGTCATAATTCATCATAATTCTGCAAAGAGATGTGACATATTAAGGCTAAACAACTAAGCAGAATAAACCTATAGTTCGAACATGGTCATAATATCTTAAGTGTGGTGGACATCTGATGTTTTTGCCTGCCCAGTAACCATTCCTGCTCTCTGGTACTAGTATCTTAACGATATTCCTTACCGATAGGGTTTCCTGCCTTCACTTCAAATCAAGAGTTGGATGCAACATAGCCCAGCCTGGTCAGTAAGAGTATTCCATTCCTTCTCACGCCCACCCTCAGGTCATAGTGACTGGTTCAGGAATGCGCATAAGACCACCCTGACAGGGAACACAACAGAGAGTCCCCGATGGAGCAGGAGAAAGGTGGAGTGCAGAACTCAAATTCTAGCAAGAAGACCAGACTTAATGGTCTGACTAAGACCAGAGGAACCCTGGAAAGCATGGCCCGTGGATCCTCTATCAGCCCAGAACTAAAACAATTTCTGAAGTCAACTCTTCAGACAGGGATTGGACTGGACTGTGGGACATAAAGTGATACTCGTGAGGAGTGTGCCTCTTAGCTCAAGTAGATACAAGAGACTAAATGGGCAGCTTCTGTCCAGAGGTGAGATGGGAAGGCAGAGAGGGTTAGAACCTTGTTGAATGGACATGGGGAATCAGAGGTGGAAAGGACGAGTGTGCTGTCACAGTATGAGGAGAGCAATTAGAGTCACATAACAATGTATGTATAAATTTTTGTATATGAAAAAAGAAAAAGAAAAAAGAAATGAGGCTGGAAAGGTAAACAGCTTCAGAACATAAAAGGAATGGGCATAAGACCCAAGCTTTCCCAATGAGAGCCAATTCTAGACTATAGTCTGAACTGACTCAATGGCACACAACAACAATACATTGTAAAAAGAGATTCTCTTTTCCACTGGAGTTACTAAGTTGTGAATATGTGATTCCGGGACTCTAAGTAACCATACTGCCACCTCACAGAGAAGGATAAAGCCAACATAGCTAAAAACAGACCAAAAGGCAGAGTATGAGAGAGAGAATTCCAATTACCTTGTTTAGGCCCTAGGTCCAGTCATGACTGAACAAGTAAAGTTATATGTATGATATTCAAGAGGTAACACAGCAATGGCTCTGGAGTCAGCCCACCTAGGTTTGAATCCCTGCACTACCATTTACTTACTATGGCTTTGGGTAAATTATTTAACTTCTCTGTGTCTTCGTTTGTTCTTCTGTTTAAAACAGGTACCTATAATAGTACCTACTTCACTGGGATGTTGTGTGAATTAAATGTGATAATACTTGTAAAGGGACTAGAACGGTACTTGGCACATCTTGGTAAGCACTCAATGTCTGCCTAAAGCAAATAGGCTAAAAGCTTTTCCAGTACCCAAAGCTTTCTTCTGCTCTGTGTAGCAATAACTGTCCACACTGTTCATTTGTCACTCAATAACATATGACTTTATATTCCTATTAAAACTTCATCACACTTATCTTACCTTCCTCTACAACTAAACTAAAAGCTTTTTATATTTCTTAATTATTAATAATAGTAATTACCATTTATTGAGAGCCTACCATGTTCCAGGATATATATATTTCATTTAATTCTCACAGCATTCCAATGAGGTATTAGCCACAGTTTATAGAGGAGCAAACTGAGGCTCAGGTAGGTTAAGTAACTCACCCAAGGTCACCAGCTAGTAAATGGCCCATACAGAATTCACGCACATGGTTTTAACCATTAAGCTACATTACTTCACAGCACTTAGCCCTACACTTATGTACAGAGAGATTTACTAACACTGTGTGGTGCTAATATGAGAAATAATTTTGCTTTTTCATTGCATATGATTTATTTTTACTGATTCTCCACTTTTTCATTCCTTTTCACTCCTCAACTCGCTATTATCTAGTTCAGTCTTCCAATACTCCACTAAAATTGCTTTGATAAAGGCTACCAGTATCATTTTAGTTTCCATATTCAATAACTACTTCTCATGCTGCTTACTCTCTCTGTGTAATCTCATTCTTAGCATCTACCATCATCTACACATTTATGCCTCCAAAATCCTTTTTCTATCCTGAGTTGCAAATCCACATAAGCAGCTGCCTGCTTCCCAGACAGGTCCATTTGGATTCTCATAGGAACCTCAAACTCATTGGATCCAACCGTGAACTCTCTTCATGTACTTCCTACTTTAGGGAATAACACCAGCCCCCAGTTATGGACACCAGAAATCTAGGAACAATCTTTAACTTCTCCCACATCTACCATATCTGGTCAGGCATCAAGTCCTCAGCACTTCTATTCATTTCTCCTCCTTTCCCACACTTGCTTTGGTTCAGGCCCTTGACATCTTTTACCCTGATGGCCACAATCACTGCAGCTACCTCCCACAACCAGGCTGGTTTTCCTGCCTACAATCTTGTTCCACTTTCAATTTATTCTCAGAATGATGCCAAAGTTGATCTTCAGTTCAACAAATATTCAATGAGCAACCACTATGAACTCCCAGGCACTTGTTTCTTCAAATCCTGCTCTAGACACATTCTGCTATCATGAATCTCACCCACACATGATTTCAAGGGTACCATAATAGGTGCCGGGACTATCAGGGAAAATAAGCCACCGTAACTACTCACAATGAGCTCACAGTTTAGTGGGCATGACATTATATAAATGTCATGCTAGGGATCAGTACCAGATACTGTAGCAGTACAGACAGAAATCCTCTAAATGTCTTGAGGAATCAGGGAAGATGTCCAACCTGAGTCCTAAAGGATGAGCAGGAGTTAACAATTTCGGGCAATGGAGGAGTACGGAACAGAGAGGCAGTTCAATATGGTGCCATTAGCAGAAACAAGTAGTTCATACAGCAGGACTGTGCAGTATGAGGAGGTAAAAGCAGACAAGACAGAATTATTGGGGAAGAAAAGAAGTCTTGTCTCACTGATGCACTTAGAGGCATTAGGTAGACTTACCGTTCAATCTCCTTTTCATTCCCCTCTCTGCGAAATCGCTCAATATATTCTTTGCTATGTTGTTCTTGTGTGTGACACTGTTCCTCAAATATTTTAATTGTTTCATTAAAAGCTTCAATTGCAGTCCTCTTCATCTGTATTTCCTACAGGAGAGAAAAAAGAAAAGACATACACTTTATTATCTTTGTTTATTTTTTCTTATAATCTTGGTCTTAAAACAAATCTTACAATTTTAGTTAAGATTCCCATGTAAGACCCAATTAAGACCCTTTATTTAGCCCCCACCCCTATTACTTTAACACAAAATACATCATTCAAAAGCTTAAAAAAGAAAAAGAACCACTGCCTGAAATATGTAGCCGAGAGAGGCCACTAAACTGCCAAGAGATTGGTCCTAAACACCTTATAATGCTGAGCCCCAAACGGCACTGAAGAAGTGAATGAATGGAGCCAAGAAGTCCACACCCCATAGTACAAAGCCTCAATCCCAGAAGAGCCCTGTAGAATCTAATAATTCTTACTTTCTTTTCTCAAGAATGGGCTTAAAACCCAGGGCAGATTAGAAGCAGAAAATGAAAAGAGGAAGAATAGCTACTAAAGGTAGACGAACTAAAAAGAGCAAGATGAAAAACTAACATACTCCACAAAGCAAATTTAATAACTCTAAAAGCCTTGTAGGCTAGGCCATTCAGCACCAGGGTAAACAGCCTTATATATTTCAGTGAGGTCTGAGGGCCCTAATAGACTTTAGCATCTGAATTGTAATTTCCCCTAAAATCTTCAAGAAGAGGATTAAATTTTGTTCAGTTTACTTTTTAAAAGCGAGAAATATGTATGAAAGTCTAGAAAGACTGTTATCCTGAATGTTTACAATTTTAACAGTTTTGGTGCTTACAAGATAATTCCTCAGCTATCCAGTATTTATTCAACAAATGGTTATTGAGAATCTATTACACAGAAGATATCATACTGATGAATAAAGATATTTAGGAAACCTATGGCATGCTCTCCAGGCCTCAGAACACTGGTGGAACAGAGGCAACCAAGTGGGTGAATTAGTTACCTACTGGCTTACAGAAGAGGCTAGGTTTTAAAAAGTTGGGGTAGAGGAAGAAAACACAGCATCACACAATCAAGGCATAGTATGGTGTATACATGAAAGAATAGAGGATGTTCAAGAACAGCAATTGCTCGGTGAGGCTGGATCATAAGTGGATTAGGAGGATATGAGGGAGGCTAGAACTTTACGAAGTTCCATATAGTTGAGGTTATATTATACATATCCCAGGTAGTACTGCACACTTATTGGAATGCCCATATCTAAATACCTAGTTAAAAATTCTACAACTCTCAAATTACAGTATAGGGTCTTGGCTCCCTTGGAAAGTTAGAAATTATCTATAAAGCCCTGGCCCCAGATCTTCAAAAAGAACACCAATAATTTAGACTTTACTAACACTGGTATTGAGTCCTGATGGCGCAGTAGTTAAGAACTTGGCTGCTAACCAAAAGGTCAGGAGTTTGAACCACCAGTCACTCCCTGGAAACCCTATACGGCAGTTCTACTCCTGTTCTATAAGGACAATATGAGTCGGAAACAACTTGACAGCAATGCATTTTTTAATAGGTAACACTGGTATGGAGCCCTGATGGCACAGTGAAGAGCTCAGCTGCTAACCAAAAGGTCAGCAGTTCGAATCCACCACGTGCTCCTTGGAAACGCTGTGGAGCAGTTCTATTCTGTCCTATAGCTATGAGTCGGAATCGACTTGACCGCAACTGGTTTTTTAACACTGGTATATGTGTTGGTAGGAGGGCAGCAAGAGGAAAAGTATTTTATATCATTGCCAAAGCAGCAGCTCCCCCATGCAGCCATTATTTTAAACAATACCACTATACCTACCACCAAAACTATAAAACCAAAAAAACTCATTATCATTGAGTCAATTCCGGCTATAGAGACCCTGCAGGACAGGGCAGAACTGCCACATCTTTCTCCCACGGAACAGCTGGTGGGTTCAAACCACCGACCTTTAGGTTAGCAGCCTAGAGCTTAACCACTTTGCCACCAGGGCTCCTCCACCAAAACTATAAACCTACCTATATCTGCACCATCCTCTCCTTTCTACTCCCCCAATCCCTTCATCTACATGTGCTCTGGATCTCACCTTCTCTTCCGTTCTCAGGTACTTCACTCCACCACATCAGCCAGCCTTTCTTACATCATCAACTCTCCCTGTCTCCTCTTCATCAACATATAAACACCACTTGGAAAAGAAAAATCTCTTAACCCTAAACTCCTTTCCGGTCAGTTAAGCTTCTTGAAAGAGTTGTTTATATGTGCTGTATCTCCTTCCACGTGTTTCATTCACTCTTCAACTCATTCTACTCTAGCTTCTGCACTGACCATTCTACAGACTCTTTCCAAGGTCACCAATGATTCTCCTCATTGCCAAACCCCTCTCCTTTATCCCAATCTATCACTAAGTACGATGGTTTTTCCTCCTGATTATATGTAATCCAGATGTCAGATATCCCCACATGTAGCCCATTCTCACCCTGTGCCAACTCTGATTTGGGGCATATCATCTCTTCCCATTCTCTGGAAAGAATTTACTTATATCAAAGCAATCTAGATTTTATCTAAGATTTCACAATAAAAACAGAGGAGGTCTATAAAATATACCTTGAAATCAACCCTTTAAACCCTCTTTAACACTTATTTCCCCAGTACATTTCCTGTAGTGCTAATTACTGGGTACTTCTCTTCCTCCCTACCTCCCAAAGCTCTTCTGCCTAGTCTGGTATTCTCCCCCATCCCATACCCTATCTCAAGTCTTGCTCCTAATTCTCACATAGAGAAATTTAGCCCTCTTCTAATTTCTATCTGTCTTGGAAAAAGTACAGTCAGAATGCTCCTTAGAAGTGAGGATGGCAAGACTTTGTCTCACATACTTTGGACATGTCATCAGGAGGGACCAGTCCCTGGAGAAAGACATCATGCTTGGTAAAGTAGAGGGTCAGTGAAAAAAAGGAAGACCCTCAGTGAGATGGATATGACACAATAGCTGCAAGAATGGGCTCAAACATAGCAACATTTATGAAGATGGTGCAGGACCAGGCAGTGTTTCGTTCTGTTTTATGTAGGGTCGCTATGAGTCAGAACCGACTTGACGGCACGTAACAACAACTAGCTTCTATCTACTGATTTTTTTTTGTTTACCTCTATTGACCTCCTTACTCAACTTCCCAACAAGGGATTCCAAGTTCAGCGCCCAGTCTCATATCAGCTGCTCGAGACTCCTATTCTGTAGTTAAATCTCCAATATCACTGAGCACATGACCAGCACGTGAAGCTTTCTCTGCTTTCTCCAGTCACAGCAAGAAAGCAGAAATGCAGCCCTATACAAGCCAAAGCCACATGCAACAGTGGCCATTTTATCTAGCCTCTGTTCACAGGAGGGTTAGCAATCCTCTATCCCAGTTTCACACAATGAGTCTGACTCCAAGCCCCTGCCAAGGGTGGACTGCTTCTGGTTCATTCAACAAAAAAATTGAGCACTAACTATATTCCAAGCATTATTCAAGGCATTTGGGATACATGAATAAACAAGCTTGACAAAGATTTCTGCCCTCCTGGAACTTATAGTTTAGGAGGATATATAGAAAATAAGCAACAGACACATAGGTAAGTAAATTATATAGCTTGTCAGAGGTGAGAGGTATTACGAAAAGAAGAAAAGTAGAGCAGGGAAAGACCAGAATGCAAGTTTCAATTTTAAATAAAGTGGTCAAGTAAGCCTCAAAGAGAAGATGACATCTGAGCAAAAACTTCAAAGAGTTGAGGGAGTTAGCCAGGTGACTATCTGGGGGAAAAGTGTACCAGGTGCAGGAAGCAGCCAGTGCAAAGATCCAAATGTGGAAGAAGGTCTAGCATACTCAAGGAATAGCAAGGAGGATAGTGTGGCTAGAGCAGAATAAGTGAGGAAGACGTTATAGGAAATGAGGTCAGAAAGGAAGAGGGACACAGATCATGCTAGGCATTGCAGAAAAGACTGTGTAAAATGTGGAACCAGAGTAGGGTTTTAAACAAAGGAGTGCCATAACCTGACCTATGTTTTACAAGTATCATTGTAGCTGATATGTTGATAATAGATTTAGGGGGTAAAGGAGCATGGATAAAAGCAAGAAGACCAGTTAGGAGGTTTTGGTGGTAAATCCTACCAAGAAATGACAGTGGCTTTGACAAGGGTATTAGCAGTGGAAGTGGCAAGAAATGGTTGGATTCTGGGTATATTCTGAAGGTAAAACCAACCAGATTTACTGATGGATTAGCTGCAAGGTATAAAAGAAAGGGTCTAGAATGACTTTTGGCCTAAGTATCTAAAAGGATGTGGTCGTCTCAACTGAGATGGGTAAGCTTATGGTGGAACAGACTTGAGGTAGAATATCAGACTTCAGTTTTAGACACGTGATCGTTAAAGATTGTGTGTCAACTTGGCTGAGCCATGATTCTCAGTGGTTTGGCCATTCTGATGTAGTTTGGCAGTTGTATAATCATGTTATCACCTCCATGATGGGATTTGCTGTGGGTAGCCAATCAGCTGAAAGGGAGTTTCCTTTGGGGCGTGGCATGCATCCAATATAAGTGGACTTTCTGGCAACGTTTGTGGGCTTTTGCTCACTCCAGATCCTGCAGCTAGTTCCTGATCATCTGACCTCTGGTTCTTAGGACTTGAGTTAGCAGCTTGCCTGCCCATCTTGAGACTTGTCAGCCTCTGCAGTCTGGATCTTGGGTCTGCCAGCCCCTGTAGCTACGTGAGTCAGGAGAAATCTCCATCCTGACCCACAGACTTGGGACTTCCCAGCCTCCTCTACAACAGTGTGAGCCATTTCCTTGATATAAATTTCTCTCTTTCTTTCTTTCTCTCTATATATAGACACTTCTTTGGTTCTGCTTCTCCAGAGAACCCAGCCTAAGATACATGTTAAGTATGAGATATTCATTAAATATTCAAGTGAAACTGTTGCAATGAGTCTAGAATTAGAAGTCTGAACCAGTGAGATAAAATTAGGGCGTTACTGGCATATACACGGTATTTAAAGCCATGAGACTGCTGGAGACCACCAGAGAGTAAGAGAG